AGGAAGGAGATGTGGGGAAGGGGGACCCCCGGCTCTCAGTCACCCCCCTATTTTCTAGGAAGGGCCCTGGGGGGGTTCAGGGCCATGAAGGCGCCTCTGCGCTGCCTCCCCACACAGTAGTCATTTCCCCTTGCCGTGCCACGGGATCGCAGCCATCGCTGGCCACGCAAATGAGGAAACGGGGCCGGGGGGAGGGCTGGAGAGAAATCCAGCGTGACGCAGAGCGGAGGCCCCCCCTGCGCTCGCCCCGGCTCCTGCCCACAGCCTGGCAGTGCCGGCAGGCAGAGGGGCAGGAGCAGCCCTGGCCCCGAGAGCCCACGCGGCACCGCAGCCCCCCATGGGTCACTGGTCCCGTGGCCACTGTGTGCGCTGCGCACCACCACCAGGGAGGAGATGCCGGCCGGAGCGAAGAGCTGCCCAAAGCAAGTTTTGGGGCTGCTTCTGCTCCGTGCAGGAGCGCTGCCAGATCCCACATGGTTCTGGCGTCCCAGCTCACACGGGACGGCCGCAGCAGGCATGGAGAAAGGATGGCCGAGGACAGCGCCTACAAAAATCCCGAGTGCCCCTCCCACGGCTGTACGCGCAGCGTGGTGGGGCCTGGGAAAACAAACTGGCGGTCGAGTTGTTGAGGGTGACCCGATGGTGAGCGATGAGGGAGCGCCTGGGGCGCTCGCAGCCCCTCCGAGCCAAGGATGCAGCAATAAGTAGCTTTTACACACACTCCCACCCAAACCACATGGGACTTAGTGCCACGCGGAGGTGCAGGCAGGGGCGCGATGCCTCGGGCTGCGTCCCAAGGCCGGATGACCGGGATGGGATCCAGTCACTGCACCGGCTGGTGACAAACAGAGGGAGACGGGGACCACGGGGGCTGTGCCTCCCTCCCTCCCCAAAGCGCTTTGTTCGGCCTCAGAAACACCCGGTGGCCCGAGGGGCTCCAAAAGCAGCCGGCGCCGTCCCGCGGGCAGGGGCGCACGCCGGGGGAGCGGGCGGCAGCAGACGGCGGCAGCGGGTCCAAGCTGAGCAGCCACGGCCAGAGCCCCCGAGCCCTCCGCACCCCCCTGCGCAGGAAAAGGACCAATAACCGAGAGTTGGCTAAAAATGAATTTTTCCCCTATAAAAAGGGAGGAACGTTTCCACATTCACAATCACCGAGTTGGAAATCCTGCTGGCAAGGAGGGGCGGGGGGAGGCACACAAGCAAGCGGAGGCGAGGAGGGGAAGGGAAGGCGGGATGGCCGACAGCAGGACGTGTGGCAGTTAGAAATTGCGGACGCTTGATAAGGGGCATCGGTGAAAACCCCGGCCCCGGCAGAGCGGCTACGGCCACGCCGGTGCCACCGTGCCACAAACGGCCGAAGTTCCTGGAGCAGCAGGAACATCCGCATGGACACACAGCAAACAAACACTGCCCTGCCTACCGAGAAAATGGTGATCTCTTCCCATCTTGTGGTGACAAAACACTTCCTATTCCACTCCAGCGTGTTGTTAAGCAACGAGTCTCGGGCTGCTGCTGCGGTGAGCCAGCAGATACCGCGCTCGGCCAGCGCCGGCCTGGGAGCAAGAGCGTGAGCATCGCTGCCGGAGCGCCCGGCGGAAGGGGAGCCAACATCACGTCAGCATTTACAGGGGGACTGTGAAGCGCCCAACAGCGGCACCGCTCACTCGGCACGTGCCCCAACCAAAGGCAGGGATAAGGATGCCCCAAAACCACTCATGCCAGGCTTGGGCATCACCAACGCAACAGCGGGCGTTTCTCCAAGCACCTCATTTTTGTCTCCTGTGTCTCACCCATGGACTGACAAACCAAACCTCTCCGAGGGCTGCAGGGCACCCTGCGCGCTCCGGCGCAAGTCACCAGTGCCGCCT